CAAGGTTTCTGGCTGTTTTTGAAGGAGTTATGGTTGATGTGCCTAACTGGATGGTGAAATTGTGATGAAACGATGGGTTTGCTGGAACCACAAGCAGTTCTGTCTTGGCAAGTTTGAGTTGAAGGTGATGGTCCTTCATCCAGCAAGAAATGTCTGGCAAGCTGAGATGCGAGCAGCTATCGTTGGATCATCAGGATGGAATGAGAGGTTGAGTTGAGTGTCATCAGCATAGCAGTGGTATGAAAAGCCATGTTTCTGAATGACAGAACCTAATGATGCCATGTAGATAGAGAAGAGAAGTGGTCCAAGAACTGAGCCCTGAGGAACCCCAGTAGTTAGATATTGCGACTTGGACACCTCACCTCTCCAAGATACTTTAAAGGACCTATCTGATAGGTAAGACTCAAACCACTGGAGTGCAGTTCCTGAGATGCCCTTTGCCAATAGGGTTGACAGGAGGATCATGTAAGTCATTACTGTCTTGGATATTGATTGTAATGTGAATGGTAAAAATAAACATAAATGCCGCAGTCTACACATTTATTTCACATCTCAGTTTAATCATGACACATTTCAATTGCACATGCCCTTATCTTGAATTTAGAGGGCATGCTCATTCTGGTGGCATTTTTGCCCCAAGCTGCCGTTGATTTCCGACCCTGATTCTGAATCAAATAGTGTACTTGGGAAACTGTAGCATTCCAGAGTCATGCTTCTTTCCCTCTTTTTTTTTAAATTACCTATTCAGGTGGAACATTAAACCATTAGGAATGGCTATTGCCTGGCATTTTAGACTGTGAAAGCATTTGTGCATTTATGACCTATGTAGGATGTTATACATGATCTGGCTATGGGTTGTAGTTGCACAATGCCATCTTTAAATCCAAAGCAATTATCAAGAGGAACTTCCATTCGTCAGCATGTTTTCAATGCATCAGGGTTCAGTATGTTGCCATTCCACTAAGTTACCTTCTGATGATGTGCAGCATTTATATAGTCCAGCATATAGTTTGTAGCCATACTGGGAATGGCACTTTAATAAAAGTAATAAGAATCAATCAACAGCATCTGGCCTGTTGTGAATTATAAAATACTCCACACTCATCTCTCAATTTCAAATTGATCTCAATCTCTCAAATCAAATACACAATTTTCGTTGGCGAAATCCAACCATTTCAATAGGAAGCAACGTGAGCAGGAGATTTTTACACGAAGGAAACTTCAGGATGCATTTTTTTATGTTAGACTTTCTGTCCTTTTTTGTCAATGACCGATATACTACTTAAAAAAAAAAGATAAAAAAAGATAAAGCAGTGATGATAGTTGTGAAGTAAATAATAATGATCATTAATAATCATGAGTAAATGATCACTCAGACACACCGACAGTTTGTTTTTTACTTTTATCTTACATTACAGATGATATATACAACATTAATCTTGTGTGCAGTGCAATAAAACAATTTATTTTTGGTAAACCAGCAGTATACACTTTTACAGATAACCACTTACACATCATTTTTAGACACTGAGTATTGACAGTAAGTATTTGAAAATGTTTTACATACAAGGGTTTTTACAAGGGTTGTGACCCTTATGTCACCAAAAAAAAAAAAAAAAACTGTGCCAAAATCATTTGCACATGCTGTCTGCCACTGAGTTGTCTAAACTCTAGAAAATATTTTGGACTTCATAGGCAATGACAAAAGCAGACAGAATAAAGATCATGCATTAAGTTGGTGTATGTAACACTGAACACGGGGGGAAAGGTGCATGACATGTTGACTGAAGATTTTTAGCTTCATGAAAATACTGAACAACCAAAGGTGCAATACTCAATTATGATGATTTACACAGCCTTACCTCTTCAAAAATGTCCCTTTGCAATAAAAATTAAATCTATTAAAAATTATTTCACATTCTTCAACACTTCCATGTTAACATGAAGCCATAAAAGCTCAAGATAAAACTGCAAAAGCACTGATATTATCTATGAAACCACTGCAAAAAGACTGATATCACCTATGAAAGCACATAACAGAAACACAATCTATGTTTTTAAGTACTGAACATCAGCTAGGAGGTCAGTTGATGTCACTGTCACTGCCAGATTCACTCAGCTGAAGATCATTTCCTGAAGGAAAAAAAGACAACAAAACAATTTACCATATAAAACACAGAAGGGTGTTCCTTCAACTACTGCCACTTTAATGTCCCAGGTTAACTAACATAAAAAAAAAGTTGAATAAGATTGACATTAAAACAGTCTAAATGCGCATAGTGTTTCTTTACAGAGTGACATCACCAACTATTGGCCTGGCATGCATAATACAGTGTTTTTAGTAGTTTTCACGGATCCGTGTGAACAGGGATTGTTTTGACAAAGGAAAAACTTTTTCAGTTTTTAGTACATTGTTGTTGTGTAAACGTACCCTAAGTCATAAAAAAGTTGATTACCAAATTTGTCAATGTTCTATGTCACATCAGATCTGTCTTTGTGTTGTTCTACTGTTTGTTTGATCATGCTTTGGTTTTTTTTGGCTGATAATGCAAAATAGTTTTCTACGGCTGTTGCGGAGAATAAAATGATGGTGAATGCTCTTACGGAGTGTGTTCATCAGCTGGTTGCTGCCTTGTGATTTGTTCATTCCATTGGCCATGTTGTTCCTGCTGGGGGACAAATGAGTTTCCTGTTCTCCGTCACTGCAGGAGCTGTCATTACCACTGCCAGAACAACTGCCAGAGTCTGAGGAACTGCTGCTGCTCATCTGCTCAATCACGTCCACCTCGGCTCGCAGCTCTGAGTCAAGAGCAAAAGAGAAAGACTTAGCTAAACAAAAAAAAAAACTGCTGAATTCAGCAATATCTACAAGGTCACATCGAAATGATATTTATTTTGCACCTAAACCGAACACAGCACGGGTGTATTCCTACTAGAGCACACAACTCTAATTTCATGCTGGAAATCAATTTTAGAATTTAAAACAAATGCAAAACTATAAACAGTCAACACAATGAAATAACATGATATTTAAAGGAAGTATACTTAAGAATTAAATAGATGGTCTCACATTTTTAGAACATTAAAGGGTTAGTTCACCCAAAAATGAGACGCGAGCGTGTGGCGGCGCTGACCCAGATCCGGCGTGATGACGTCAGCGCCACAACACACTCGCGTCATGATACTGTCATGAACGCGCGTCCAAAGTGACGCAGTAGAGACGAAAATGCGGAATAAAGTCGTTATTTTTGTTTTCTTTGTGCAAAAAAGTATTCTCGTAGCTTCGTAACTTTACAGTTGAACCACTGATGTCACACGGACTACTTTGTCGATCATCTTGATACTTTTCTGGACCTTGAACGTGGTAGTTACCTTGCTGTCTATGGGAGGGTCAGAGAGCCCTCAGATTTCATCAAAAATATTTTAAATTGTGTTCCGAAGATGAACGAAGGTCTTACGGGTTTGGAACAACACAAGGGTGAGTAATTAATGACAGAATTTTCATTTTTGGGTGAACTAGCCCTTTAATGAGAACATTATTATTATATATTTTTTTTGGTTTAAAAGCAATGTTGAAAGTTGAAAATATAAAATCAGCGTAAAGTCACAACAAGAGACTGTAAACTGCAGACATCCAAAAGTTGGCAGGATTGTCCCAAAATGCACCTCCAACTCATGCATGAACACACACAGCTGGTTTTTGTGTTTCTGAGAACTCTAAAATTGAATGGGCTAGAATCAAACGTTTTTGATCTTTCCATCAAGTCAGATAATATATCAGGGAGTTTTAAGATTCTACACCATCTCTAGGCCACTAATTATCAAATGGTATATTTTTTTCATTAAAAGTACGTATTAAACTAGAATAATCCAAAATTTTAAAAGCTCTAGTAGTCTACAGCTTTAGGAGCCTACTGTATAATCACAAGCATGCGGTCTAACCTCGTTTGATGTCATCCAGCTGAGGCTCAGGTGAAGGGTTGTCTTTGGTTGGTGAGGTCTTAGCCCCCGCTCCGGGCTTGATGGGGGTGCGGAACTGTGCCGTCAGCTGGTTAGCTCTCACGGACTGCTGCTCGATACGAGCCTGGATCTTACTGCTGCCCTCAGCTCTGACCAACACAAACGCACATCTTCAACATCACACTGACGACTGACAAGTCATTTTATGGTCCATGTGAAAGTGAAAATACTGCACAATGTGACAGTTTCAAGCAGTCAGAGCAGGTGTGGATGAGTTCTGTCTGTTTGCACACACTCTCACATTCACATTAAACTGTATAGCTCGGTGGTCCTCAGACTATGGGAGTGGGAGCATGTGATGTTAATGGTTATTTAGAATAGGATTACAACTTTCATGTATCTTTTGAATAACTAGGTAATATTGCATGCACTAACGTTTATAAGCACACGCAGAAGACGTTTTCCTTTTGTCCAAAAAAAAAAAACTTGATTTGAAGTGAGCATGATTTTCTATAAGTGAGCATCATATCGTTAATAAAACCAGACCAATAATAAAACCAATTATGATTAAATTTGTCTAGTTTTTCAAATGTACTGGATGTTAGTGTGATTAAACCAGGGATATAGTTAACTACATCCCTTAAAAATAAAAGCAATATTATTGTAATAAATTTGACTTAATGTATACTAAGTCCCTATCCACACGAACGTGGTTATTTTTAAAACCGCAGCTTTTTCTACGCGGTTTGGCTGTTCGTCCACATGCAAACGCTGCAGCAGGTCACTGAAATCGAACATTTTTGAAAATGCCTGCCCGGGTGAAGATTTTCAAAAACTCTGGTTGCAGTGTTATCGTGTAGACAGAGAAACCGGAGTTTTTGGCTTGTGACGTCAGAGCCTGTGCTGTTATCCCCGCCTACTGGAAACTTTTTCAGGCTTCTGACTGGCCAACATGGCTTTACGGTTGAGATTATATCGCCACCTGTTGGTTTGGCATGCTCTTGACAGTGCTTCATAGCATGTGTTTGCGTTTTCATGTGGATGGAGATTTTTTTTAAAACGGAAGAAGAAAAAAATCTGTTTATAAAAATACCCGTGTACGTGTGGACATGGCCTAAAATAACTGGAAAAAAATGAATAAACTATGACTTTAAAATGAAAATGGAAAAAATAATTTTTTTTTCAAAACATTAATAGAAAACTATAATAGTATCTCAATGATACTAAAATAACACTGGTTAAAACTAAATTGCAGTATTTGAAATATGAAATTCATTCTGCCTACTTATAAACTTATAAATATTACTACAACGGTGTGCATATATAGACATCACCTTGACATTTTCACCACTCCTAGTTGTAATGTAGAAACTTTCATTTTCTGTGAAGCTGCTTTGCAACCACGTGTATCATGAAAAGTGCTATACAAACAAATGTGAATTGAATTGAATACAGTTTCGATGTTGTTTAGATTCTGCTTTGATAGGGCACTTTAACAGATCTGCAAAGGGTCAGTTAAGATACTGAGTTTACTAGAAATATTGTTAGTAATTAAAAAAAATTATACTAATCAATGTCCTTAAAGGAACACTCCACTATTTTTGAAAATAGGCTCGTTTTCCAACTCCCCTAGAGTTAAACAGTTGAGTTTTACCGTTTTCGAATCCATTCAGCCGATCTCCGGGTCTGGCGGTAGCACTTTTAGCTGTAGCTTAGCATTGATCATTGAATCTGATTAGACCGTTAGCATCTCGCTCAAAAATGACCAAAGAGTTTTGATATTTTTCCTATTTAAAACTTGACTCTTCTGTAGTTACATCGTGTACTAAGACCGACGGAAAATGAAAAGTTGCGATTTTCTAGGCCGATATGGCTAAGAACTATACTCTCATTCCGGCGTAATAATCAAGGAACTTTGCTGCCGTACCATGGGTGCAGCAGGCGCAATGATATTACGCAGCGCCTGAAAATAGTCCCGAGCATGCTCCCTGTGCAAGCAGGTGGTCACGGTTATGTTGGCGGAAGTTAGCCTATTTTCAGGCACTGCGTAATATATCAGCTGAATGGATTAGAAAACGGTAAAACTCAACTGTTGAACTCTAGGGGAGTTGGAAAACGAGCCTATTTTCAAAAATAGTGGAGTGTTCCTTTAAGCTTTCATTCAAAAAGACTTGGTGTGACTAGGTGTCACTTGACTTGAAATCTCTTCACAAACAACGCTCACAATTCATTTGGCTGCTCACCTTGTTTTCTTGACTTGTATGCTGCTGCTGAGCTTTTCCAACATAAACTCTCCAGTGTCATGGTTGATGATGAGAACGCAGTCTTTCTGATACGGCCTTTTGTTGCCCTTAAACACTGTCATTGGTGGAGTGGAGCCCTTGAGAGAAATTACAGTAAGTGGTCCGTAGAAAGGGTTTCATACACAAAATCTAGCGGACAATGACTCTTACTGGTATGTGAGGTAATGTGATGGTAACCTCATCTCCTTTTCCAACTTGTAATTCTCCTTCACAGGATGTATCAATAGATGCTGGTTTAAAATCATCTGTGGAAGAAAATGAATATACAGTACGGCAATTTATTTTTAATTATAATAATAAAATCCATGCATATTATTACTGACACAGGTCTAGTTCATATCGTCGATGATTTTACATAATCCACATATTTGTAACATCAAATCTACAGGCTAGCCTGCAGGACGTATATTATTTTCAGTTACTAGGCTTCCTCCTGTTTCCAAATACTGGTAAGATTCTTGAGATTAGAGGTGTGTGTTTATGTTTAAATGAGTATGCAATTCAGTTTATTCAATTATTTTTATTAAAACAAGTCATACATGATGGACTCACATCTGATGGTGTGAAAAGATGATTTTGGCCTCTTCTCAAAACTATCTCCGAGCTTTAACACATGCTCTTCTTTATCCAGAGGCGGGTTCGAGCTGCCGTTCATCACTGCGCGTCACATCGACACCAGCAGCCTCACACTAAACAGCAACTTCTGCGGTGAATATCACATGTAAACAAACACAACGAAGTTGTAGCAAAAACACTCTTGGCAGATCCAAAACTTCCGGGTCACGAAAACAAAAATAACGCCTTCACCAAAGATGTTATTACGGGTTTAAAAATCAAACATTTAGTATTTAAAACCTAATGCACAAAATCGAATAAAAAAGCTGAGCTGTTCATATTTCGAAGTGCGCGAAAAGGTCCAAATGACGATCGAGAAATAAATCAATAAATAATAATGATTGAAATAAAGGTATTGTGAGTAAACATCATATTAAGATCGCGTGTTAGCACAATTACAGGTAAATCATTTGCAAGTTTGTTTTTCCTCATAAGCAAAAGTAGGGGATGAAAATAAGAACGAAATCCAGAAAAAAAAAACGCTTTGTCGTTTGACTTCCGGTTCAGTGATGTAAATAAAAAAGTGATTAATAAATGCGTGAGCAAAATAAGATTACTGTTTTATTTAGCAACCTATGATGCTATTTAAATACTATTTTATAGTATTTTATAAAATTGAATAAAAATGTTGAACACATACCCCGTAAATTGATGGCGTGACACTAGTCCGATTACCGTAAATACACAAAGCAGCAAGCAGCACGCATTAAGATGTTTAAACACACCTTCTTTAAGTGGAAAAAAAAAATCGCATACTGTATTAATGCCTAAAAGCACATAAATAAATAAAAAAATATCTGGTTAAGAAAAACTAAAACAGCAGGATCAAAGCGTGTTTATGTATATTCTATGGCTGCTTTGTGTCGGTTCATTACGGTAAATCGGCCTGTTTGAATAGCGGTCATACTGAACATTTTGTATATGAATGTGGAACACTTTCCATGCAGTCACAACCATGACGCCTACACCACCAAGGGTCATTCTGTTATTCAGCGGGAAGCGAAAGGCAGGGAAGGACTATGTGACAGATTTAATACAGAAAAGGTGTGATCTCGAGTTTTATGTAACACTGTTGGGTGAATAGATGAAATGCATGGCAGGTTTGATCGGTGACAACGGCGGGGCTCTAGTGGTTGGTTTTGGCAACAGCTGATCTGTGACTGGAGCGTGCATGGTAGGTAGTGACGTAGAGTCCGGAAGGGATCCGGAAATGGAGGATGAAATGTTTGGCGTGGATGAAGAAGGAGGGAACGGGAATAATGAGTGGAGTTTAGTAGAAAATCGGAAAAGAAAGAAAATCTGGAGTAATACATCTGAAACTGACAGTGGAAATGAAAATCATCCGATAAGAGGAAAGAAAGAGGAGTTCAAGGTAATGATGAAGTTTGTGGATGAGTCTTTTAAGATAATAAATCCGCTGAAGCTGTCTAAAGTAATTAAGGAAACGATAGGATCAATAGAAACTCCACACTCCAGATCAGTAGGTGGCGGTAATGCACCTTTAAGTTGGTTTGCCAAAACCGCCAATAAACATCAGAAGAAGAAGAAGAAGATGAAATGCATGAATATAATCTATGCTCTTATTGTAAATTACAGACTGACAGCAGAGATATGCTGTATACTCAGACTGTCTGCACCTCTCAAACAGCAGTATGCTAAGGTACAGTATGTACAGTATACATCTGCTGTTTTAACTCTGTAAAGCCTGACATGTGAAATTATAGCCAGATTTGTTTAAAGGGGTCATCGGATGCTACATGTAC